ATATTGCCATCTACCCGTACTCGATACACCGATCAATATTAGTAATATTAACCGGTTATATACAGTTTTAAATTGGAATCCCATCTATCAAGAGTATTCAACTGCTGCTGAGATCACAATCTAGAAATAATATATCAGACCTTCTTTGCATCAATTAAATTTAGTATATGTATCATAGAAACAAGATTAAGTCTAGTGTCTTTCACCTTTGCCTCACAGTTTCTTCAAGTTCAATTCCCAATCCAATATTTTCTACCCATGACACTTATAATTTTTTGTAAACTACGACAATTCCTCAGATGTGAACAACAAAATATTGTTTGGTTTTTCAACATGATATTTCAGCATTCAGTCATAGTATATTAAAAAGAGCAAGCCTCTTTTAAAGTCAGAAAGATATTGTTTAAAAAAGAAAGATTTATATATTTAAGTATCAAAGCATTGTAGATAGACATTTCTTGTTACCTGTAAATTGGTACATTCAATGCACCCTCTTTTGTCTGATAGTTATTTATAAAATTTGTATCTACATCCAAGCACAATAAAAAATATAAAAGTTTGCATTATGATTGTCATTAAATAGTTTACAGAAACGGACGAAGAACGATTTAAATATTATAATTAGGATTGCAATATAATAATGGAAGAATGTCAAACGCTTGCAAAAATATTTCGAAATCTTCAACAAATTCTGAATGTAGACACGTAACGGTACGTATTCGCGCGTTTCTAATATATTTTCTCAAAAAATACTTCGGAGCATTTTAAACTCCTTTAAAAAACACCATCATAGTGAAAATTTATAAAATAATTTGAATCTTAAAAATAAAAAGAGCAATAATGCACACCATTACGTATTACTTTGTTACGTATAATGTAATATCAAGTTAGTTTATATCGCTGACATCTACCGCTTATCTTTTATTTTTAGATATTTACAAATTCGACGGTAAAAAATGAACCGTCATCTATCAATTCCATAATTTCTTCTTCATCGCGTTTGTTAGTTCTTCAATTCAGAACATTAAAAATTTAACCTCTCAAACCGATTGCTCTTCATTACGAATTAATTATATATAATCAGTTTTACAAAAACGTTATGACTAAAGGTACAACTTAAATCTAACCGATTCGAACAAACTAAAAATTAATGTGCATATACTCCATACATACTGTAAGGAAATTATATACAAATAAGTAACTTCTTTTTCATATATAATATTACATCCTCTGTACAATAATATTAATCACGCGAAATCATTTTGTACAACGAAATGATTTGAGAGGTTAACAAAACTAGTTAAAAACGCGTTTGACTAAACCATATTTGCTAACTAATAACTTTTATGTTCATCCACCAACTGTCTAGCGGGCCACGGTACGACGAATAGATTTTTTTATGTTTACTCCAGACAAATTCATTTATGGTCTCGAGCTAATTACTGTTCATCGCATTACCATAAAGAATATTGCAACCTTTGCAAGAAAATTACGATTGATCGAGGTTCGAAGCAAAATGACAAAACAGCGAGTTGTTTCGTTCTCTTCATGCATAGGTAAGAAACGTTTGTATAGAGTTTTGTCATCAATAAATGATTTGAATATGAACAATGGAATAAATGCTAAAAAGCAATGCACTGATATTTTCTTATTTTCATATGGAAAGTAAATGCAAAATGTGACATGAAGTTGATACAAAATTGATTATCTTATAATTTTTGTTAATTAATATTACGAAGTACGATATTTTGACGTATATATATTAAGAGTTTATTTGATATGAATTCTGTTGTATGCTCTGCAAAATTTAGTAAAAAACAACAATTGAAAATTCAAAATTTAAAACAAATTTAGTAAAATAATTACTCTAATAAAATACGTGACTTACATCAAAATATTTCGATGCGCTAAAATACATTAAAGAAAAGGAACAACATTGCAACTTTCAACAAGTTGCATCACAACCGAAATATTTCAAATAATGTTGCAACATATTCTTAAATAGCATTGAAAACGTTATATACTGTCAAAGTAAATAAGAGACCATAAATAAACAAATTTGAAAAAATTTTGTATAATCGTACAGCATAAGGGCCCCCTGGTGGAATTTAGATTGATTTCCACTGTGGTTTGTGGGGACCCCCCCTTAAACGTCAGGGAAGCCCTCTTGGGACCCACAGCGCTTTGCTTTGTTCTTCATCTACAGCAGATTTCACTTGCGTACATATATACGCTACATTAACTCCGGCAGGTATTACAGCTAAAACAAAATACATAAATTGGTAAAAACAACAAAAATGCAAAATGACTACTATCATTTCATTAAAAGTTCATGTTTCTTACTATTTACAATGAATCTGTAGTATTTTCAATAATTCTCAGAAATATATAGAACTTAAATACTAATAAACTATACTAGTAAAACACTGTATTGAGATATTCGTGCTTAATTATTATTTTGGGATCAAATTCTGTTACATGTAAGAAAATTCTTCAATCAACAGATTTTTGATGTAGATAAAAATGTGTAAATAAATGATCTTAACTCACCAGAAATATAATGCTTGTATTCGGCCTCAAATTTAAGTGCTTGTTCATACATTTCTTTTGCAGCTTTAGCACTAACTTTATCACTTGGATACCTGGAATCCTTGACTTCCTTAATTTGCTTTGTATTCTTGAATTTAATCAATAATACTATTGGATATATTTGATGTCGATGAAGTCGCTCAATCGATGCAATTGCTACATCCAAGATACAATGAGTATTCTACAATCAAAGAAAAATGAAAATGTATATGGTTTTATATTTAACCATTATAAATATAATGTAGTTCCAGAAATGATTATATAAAGTTGACACAGTTCATTTTTATCTGGTAAATCTGCCCTGTCTACGCGTTTATATAAATAACATTATCAATATTATGTATGGCATTGGATAAAAAATACCTTACCTTCTCACATATGTCCTTGACAGCTTGTACTGTAGTACACTCGAAATAGCTTCCTTTTTTTCTGTAGTCTACGTAAAGTGCGTCACGCAAACCTTGTTCGAGTGTTGACTGAGAACAGTGCATCGCTTCTGCGAGACACCTAGTGAATTGTCCAGGAAATTCTTGCAATAGTTTTGTTACTACACATTCGCTTAGCGGCCCAATAATCAATACTGGTCTTAAAGCTGGATCTGTAAAAAAATAAAAATACAATTATTAATTCTGCATTTTAAGCAGATCTTAAAATTGCATTTTCTAAATGATATATTGAAGTGAGCAAACATTAAATAAGTTAAAAATATACGTAATAAACCCACCAAATATAAAGTAAATGGAAATACAATATAAATTTAAATCTTAAAATTAATTTCTCCTTTATTAATAAAATATATTTATATACTAATTTCTTTCATGAACTTTTTGATGACTCTCCACATCTCCCTCTAGGGCCATGACCTATATTTTGAGAATCGCCGTAGCGGTTGAACTATTGAAGGCATGAAAAAGTTGTGATTATGAAAGCTTTTTGTAATAACAATATTTCATGTCTTTAGTGATGATGTCCCAGAAATCTCTACGTCTCTAATTAATAAAAGAGGCACGTTAAAAGTAATTAATATTTAACCCTTTTTACTAGTAAGTAATTAAAAATGCAAAAATAATTGTAATGATCTTATAAATTATAGGTTTACGAATACTTACAATCCAATCTTTCGACGCGTTGATAACTCGCTGGAAGAGTTTCCTCATTCAATGTGCCACTATCACTGTACCAACCCAAATTTACTCCAGTAAGATGTGATAATTCTTTACTATCCCTACTGGAAGAACGTTGATGTTTCTTCCGACGGAAGAAACTTCTTCTTGCACTAGTACTGCCTCGTCTAGTGGTGTCTGTTTCCAAGTCACCCATTGAACGTCTTAAAAGTAAATCTTCTTCAACCCTAAAAATACATTATTCATTAGGTGTCCCATCACACTATTGTAATATAAACACAAATCCGGTTCTACAAACGTACTTGAATTTGCTCGGAATAATTCCGCAGGTTTGTCTTCTTCCAGTTTGATCGACTATCCAAGCTCTCCAATGGCCCGGAGTACCATTGAACATGGTATTGTCGATATATAAAATATCATCTTTATTAAATCTAAGTTGTAGGCTATCTCCTACTTCGCCCACTCGATCGAACATCGCTTTTACATAAAAACTGTCCCCTGGTTTATCTTTTACTTCATTATACCTGTCAGGTACATATTGAGCAATCAACGTCACTTTATCTGCTGGCCTAGCCAATTCCAGAGCTGCCTGTTCTGCAGTCGCTTGCCTGAGATCTACACCGTTATATTCTAGAATACGATCGCCGGTACGTAGACCTGCCTCTTCAGCAAGGCAACCTGGTTGTACCGAATGTACAAATATTCCAACGCCGTTTCCACCAACAAGCGAAATACCTAAATTCGAGCATTTTCTGGTCTCAATGAATAAGTACCTAGGTTCACTTGGCGGTGGACTCTTACGATTTTGTTCTTCTTGCGTAGGACTTCTCACGGTAGCATTTTGTCGTTGCAACGTAGTCGCTGCCTGATTTAGCTGTGCGCGTGTGAGTGAATTGGCAGTACCACGCAATGTATCAAGAGTTACCGAATTACGCATATTTTCTAATGTAGCTGAACTGCGAAGTTCTGGTTTCCTAATGTTGATATCTAAGGACGCTGATGCTCTAATTTGTCGCTCTCTTTCTTCGGTACCTCGCACTTCCAAGGAGGCAGAATTCCTAATATCTCTTTCTCGAATGGTGCGAGGTGGTTCCAAGGTATTTGAAGTTTCGCGCATGATAGTTAATGTGTTGGATGCCTCGCGCTTTGTACTTAAGCTACTGGAAGCATCGCGTTCAGGTTCTGAACTCTCCAACTCGATTGTTGGTTTTCTTGTAGCTTCGGGACTATTACAAGGAGTCGGTGATCCACTACGACTACCACCCTGAGCACCACCAGCTTCTGACGAGCTCGAAGAAGCAGATCCTTCTAATTCGTTGTATTCTGATAAAAAGAACATATGATATATAAATACAGATTTCCGTATTAAACGAAGAACCATGCCATAGCAATAAATAATAATCACTTATAACAAGAAGGGTGCAAGACGATTTGAATAGTGCAAATTGTGATAGGGATTTACTACTCGTTCTAAAATGACACTGTACTCACTGTCTGGACTGTACTGCACCAGCATCGTAATGGAATTACCGCACTGACGCAACACATTGGCAGCAAGTTGATACGTGGCACTCCTCATATTAATACCGCAGACTTCGAGTAACTGATCGCCAATTTGAAGACCGACTTGAGACGCTAAACTGTGTTCACTAACAGTGGAGACAAACACACCACCGCTTTCCAAACAAGAAATCTGAATTCCTAACGGCTCAACCGACTTGTCTATATGAACCCTGCGAAGTTCTCCAGGGGCCGGCCTACATTGAGAATAACAATATTCTGGCATGCTAGACCGTTTATTGTTACTACTTCCTCTGACCGTTCCTCCAGAGCTACTTCCGCCTCCGGTGCCAGGACTAAGTACTTCCACGTGGAATGTCGGCATCGGGCTGCCTCTTTCCGATGTCCTTTCTATACTGCCAGTAGACAATTTACCCACGCTGCTTTTTGATGTAACACTAGGATTTGACGGTATTCGAAAACGTTGATTTTCCTTCTTTCTTGGAAATGTTCCACCTTCGTAGCCATGCGTGTATGCCGGTACGTCGTATGTAGTGCCGATCGGTGGAGCGCGAGATTTGTGATAATGCAAATCTACGGAGGGTGTGTGCAAATGCCCGAATCCTGTTTGCGGGCCGGGGCTATACGAAGGTTCGAAACAGTAAGATCGTGCATCAGGAAGTCCTATTGACTCCCCGGACTGTGCAGACGGCAAAGATGGCGGGGAAGGGTATCTCGAAGGTAAAGAGTTCTGTTGATGGGGATGCGGATGCGAATGCGTATAGGGAGGAAATGAAAAATTACCAGTTAGCTGCTGCCTCGTGCCGCTGGTCGACGAAGTTGATGATCCGGCCCCAGAATAAAGTTGAGATTGCGCTCTATTATGTTGCAACGTCTCTACTTGGTTATCGTTGCTAGGAATATATTTTTGCGCCCTCTTCTTCGAGAAATATTCTACGTCTTTTCCCGTGTTACCCGACTTCAAGGAGAAGTCGATGCTAGTTTCGGACGGTGTCAGCGTAGAGCTCAGTCTACTTTCCGTGTTCTCGAATTCGACCGTCGGTTTCTTATCTAGCGGGATATCTTTGAACTGCACCACTGGAGTAAAGGATTTCTGACTAAATAATTGTCCAGTTTTGAGGAAGTTTGGTAATGGTTTTTCTACGGATTTATAAACTGTATGCCGATTATTCACATTGGAGAAACTGGTTAAGGGAATAGGATTAGAAATACGATTATAATTATAACAGTCATACTTGGGCGGTTGATTAAGGAGAACACTTAAGGGCAGCCTTTCTTTTGTCTTACGTGGGTGTAAAATAGTACCGGTACCATTCTGTATTAAAGGCCCACCTCTCGCTTTCGGCCACGTACCTCCATTCTTCTCAATCTTTTCGGTTCCGCGTCGCTTACTTCGTTTCAATACCCCGTTATTTGCTTTTTTGTGATAACTCTCTATCACCGAGTCTAATTCCGCTATTGCATCTTGCTCCTGCTCGAAGGTATTCGGACTGGAATTACGATGCCGTTTCTTCTTTTCTTCTCGATCCTTACTGTGCTTACGTCCTCGTACTATGTCGATCTTCTCTCGTATGTTGTCCCAAGCATTACTAATACCACTTGGCTTTTCACTACTAACCGACTTCGAAACTTTGTAAACACTTCTGTCCCCGAAGTTGGCCGCTAGATATCTCCTGTCGTAATCGTCGGATGCTGTCTTCATCATCATTCTCTCTTGCTCCGTTTGCGAACAACTGTTTACCATTTTCTGTTTCTCTGCGCTAAAGCTACCATCGATGGTCATTGTCTCAGAACTAGTTGCCGAAGGTAACGGTATTCCCTTGAGGGTCGTAATAGTTAAAACATCTGTGCTCGTGTCATTTAAAATTGCCATCGCTTCGTGACTGGAATTTATGCCTTCCATAGTTTTGCTATTAATCTAATAAAAAAGAAACATTAATTTATCAATGACAAGGAATCTATCGTAAGTATTCAAACAGAATTTATATACTAAACACGTACATTTAGAACTCTATCTCCAACAGCAAGATTACCATCCTTTGCGGCTAAACTGCCAGGTGATATCTTTGAAATGTACACACCAAGTTCCAAAGAGATTCCATGAGGAACTGATCCAACCGGTAGTTGTGTTGTCCTTAATGATCTTCTAGTAACACGTCGTCTTCTTACTGTCAACGTAGCAGAACTCACCGAACATGTACGCAAAGTTTCCATTATGACACGCGTAGAAACCGATGTGCAATCGACATTGTTTACTCGCATAATGCAATCGTTCACTCTTAATTTTCCTTCCGCCGCGCTACCTGTTGTAACTTGAGCAACGTAAATTCCCGTGTCATTTGGATAATACGGACTGTCACGACCTCCGACCAGTGTCACTCCCAAATCACGGTCTGTATCTAAACACAGTCGACTAAGATCAAAATGAATGGTAAGAATTTCCCAATCATTGATATCGGTGTCGATTGCAGAGTCATGGGAATGCGCCAAACCTTGCGCAAATTGACTTGATCTTAATGCGTGATCACCAGATTCGATCTTTTCCTTGAGATCTTTCAGCTCCTTTGACGCCTCGTTCCGTTGTTTTTTAATATCATCAGAATCGCGTAAAGCACCCGCTAATTCCGACACTGCACGATCACGCTCTTTTCTTAATCGATCACATAAAGTTCTAATACTTTCCCTCTCTAACACTATTTTATCTCTTTCGCTGAAAGCCCAATCTCTTCTTCGTTTTGAAACTTCCGCCTCTTGAAGGGCTTCCTCGAGTTCTGCTTGCAATTTATCTACCGATTTCCTGAGCTTATCTAATTCCAAATTTGCCTGATCCAAGTTATCCATACGTTCTTTGTCTCTTTTAGTATAATCTGCAGTGTTATTTTCTCTTTCAGCTTCTTTACTTGAATTATCCCGTTCGCGATTATACGAATGTAGTTCCATACGATTTTTGTAATCACGGTTAGAACCCTCGGAATAATCTCCAAACTTCTGGCGCAACTGATTGGATTGCTTTAAAGCTTCGTCTCGATCTTGCAAAGCTGAAGAAATTTCCCTCCGTAGAGTTTCAATTTGATAGGATAAAGCTTTTTTCTAAAAATAATGGGAGCAGATTAAAACAGAGAATGTTCGCTTAAAAATAGGAGCTGCAGTAACAAGTAGTATATAGTATAGCTATATGATACGTAATATAAATAGCTGGAAACCAATATAAAATGTATGAAAAGAAAATAACAATAAGGAAAAAAATTGTTGCATTGACTTATTCAAAACAGTAATTAATTTGAAAATTAGTGTTAAGATGAAACAAAACTTCCGGCCATTTAATGAAATGAAAAAAGATCAATTAATTACGTTTACCTCTTCCATAAACTGTTTATTCTGGTTTTCAAAATGCGTGACCTTCGCGTATGCCTGTGTAAGATCATCCCCAAGTTTTTCCATTTCTTTGTGTACCGTGTCTCGTTCGCCCATAATTAAACTGTATTCTTGTAATGCGGCATTTCTTTCTTCCGTTAATCGTTTCATATCTTTGCTAGCCTTCATTCGTAGTACCATTGCATGGTTGATTTCCTTCACTGCTTCTTCATGTTGCTGCTGCACTTTGGCTAAGGCTTCACGGTACTCGTTTCGTTCCCTCAAGGCAATGTCCCATTGCCTGATTGCAGCAGTACATTGTTGCTTCAAACCATTACGTTCGCGAACTGCGCTATTGCGCTCTTGAACAACTTCGTCATACTGTTTTTTCAATCTGGCAGCCTCTTCTTGTGATAGTTCCAACTACATTTGATTATGCATATAAAGTTACATGAAATCAGACAGTGTTGTTTACTTACTCTATCTTAAAATACTTACAGAACTAATGTTTTACACTTACCTTATTAACAGCAGATGAATGTGATGATATCAAATCATCGTACCGTTTTCTAAGAGCATCATATTCGTCTTTGACCGCTTCATATTTTCGAAGTGCAGATAAATAATGTTGATTCATAGCATCACTATTAGTGGTGTCAGAAACAAGAACTTCTTGGTTCTGACATCGTAGCTCAGACACTTCCTTTTGCAATGCCTGAACCTCCCGGTCAAGACGTTGTTTATCATTTACTAAATCTCCATACTTGCCCCGCAATGCGGAGCTTTCTTGTGATGTTGCCTCCAGCTGATTCATGACTGGTATGTGCTGTCCTCGATAGTATTCCAATTCCTTCATAGTATGCTCACACCTGAGATTGAAATGTTATTGTTTAGCAATTACTAAATATGAAGCAATTTGAAATTAAAGAAAATTATACAACAATGCAAACATAAAAAGCAAATTCCAGTTTAAGATATAACTAGGACAATAACAAACCGTCTTATAGTATCGGAGTGCTTATGCCTAAGTAGCTGAAGCTGATGCATGGCCTGATCGCATTGAGCTTGCAAACCATCATAATCACTATGACATTCAGGACCACCAACAGGACTTCCGACACTGCCATAGCCTCCGCTATCTCTTTCTTCATGCACCACACGCAAATAATATTCAACAATACAAATTGCAATACAAATAATAAATACAATGCAATGAAACATAAAGGTGTAATTTAAGTATGAACATATATTGACACAGTGCAATATGTACTAAATCAAAATAGATATATATATATACCTATCTTAAAAGAGAGTAAGAAAAGCAATAATGAAACTGATAAACTATTAGAAATACACAGTATGTTTATTGTAAGTAAATTCATATAGAAAAAAATTGCTAACAATACATTCTTTTCATACCAAATATATAAATATTTTTCAATATTGTTCTTACCCATATTGAGTGCTCCATCTGCAAAACAATAATGAACAAAATCTTAATTGATTGTAAATAAAATGTACATCATTAAATATACACATGAAAAGGAAAGCACTATTATGTACCTCATACACTGTGTTGTTACAATTGGTAGAACAATATAATCAGATGTTCGACTAGCTTTCACCAGGAAAGAAACTCTATGTCACGCATGTAAGCATTATGATTCACTGTTTTTTGCAAAGTGAAATTATAATTACTGTTTGAAACACTATGCCAAGCAGTTTAATTCAGTAAAATACAAAATAATAATTTTGTTTCATACAATTGTCTCTTTCAAAAAGAATATTTAAAAGTATTTTGAGACAATTGATTTTTATAAAAATAAATATTTGATGATGCTACATTTATCAAAAGCTAATATTAGTACGCAAAGAAATGTCCTTTCATCCTTTGTAGGAGAATGGTACAACGACTTTATTATTTATCTTATACTTTGACGATGAATCTCCTTTAGCATCAATAAATTTAATAGGTCGAAGTATATTACTCAACTTCTATCAATAATATCGAACTGACACAAACATATCTAGAAATATAACACAGAAAACTAGAAACTACACTCACCACTACTTCCAGCACTATCCAAGGAAGATGCGCCAGAAGCCATGCTCTTGATTCACCGAGGATCTACCACGAATACTTCGCTAGCAAGGTACGTGCTAGGTATTGCCTGGAAAGTATCCATGCGCTGTATTTCATGGAAGAGTGAACCCTTTGTGAATTACTAAGAAGTAGCCTTCGGGATGACATTATGGCTGTAGTCTAAACGGTGCATGGCACTCATAAGAGGGATGCAACAGTGCACCTGGTGCACACACACGGCTATACACTCGCACGCAAACACATACACTCAACGCGCGCGCACATGAACACACACACATACATACACAGAGTAACTCTTACTCCAATACAAACACGTGCCTCGTAATATCGAAACGTTTCATGCATCACTGTTTTCCGCGCGATTACTGATACGGAAGAAACAACGGGTGAACGTATGTTTTCTGAATGGATGTAATAAATTAATCTACGTTTTGCTGATGTGTCTCGATTTTGAGATCGCGTCACATTTATCTCTTTATTCCCTGTCAACAGAGAGGTTATCGATCCTCGTTTAATAGTAGCACAGATGAGTGACGATCACCGGCTGGCTTATTCCTAACAAATTGAAAACTCGTTATCACTGTAGAAAAAAAAGGAGCCAACAAGCCTTTCAGCGGTGATCTCGATCGCGCACCTCTTCAAATAATCTATTAACTCTCTCGACAACACTGAAATCGACGCAATATTCACTGACTTCGATCGTCCCAATCGCTGCAAACTGCGCACGGTTCATCCCGAAATGACTAATGTCCCGATATTAACGATAAGTGATCGCTCACCTGCTGCACCAACGAACCTGACAATTAGCCATTTTCATTCCGCCACTACAGTCTGTTTCGCATTGTCGATAATAAACATACATACTTCGTGGACGAGCTTGTTACTGAGCGTTGCGGCGCTAGTATCCACGGAGCACCGGTCGATTATGTCGTTTCAAAATAGGTTCTAATTTTAAAATTGTGTTATCACTTTACGAACTTAAAATTCAAATCGAAAGAGTTCCAAATTTTAATTAATTCAGAAAGTTTTAAAATTCATATTTTCAAAACTGGATTATTTATGTATCTAATTAATTTTCTATTAATTTGATATAAGTTTTAGCATATACAAAAAATAAAAACGATTGTTACAGAAACAACCCTTAACAAAAGCGCATGGAAAGGGTCAACTCCCTAAAAAAGGAATCAACAAAGGAAATGAATATTCTTTAGAGGGTAAGAAATGCACGTAATGGGTTTAAACAATTTTATTTATTGGCGAACGTCATTACCACTGATTTTCAAGTCGACAGTCGTGCATAGAAAAGAAAAATAGAATGCGAATACTTACACCAGTCATAAGAAATATATACTTTCGTGTCAGTATGTCAGAGAGTAATAGTATTCGCAGTTCTGGTTGATAAATTTGGGCGATTAATATTAAATACAAAATATATATGTATATATATATATATATGTGTATTTATAGCAGTAATATTATATCTTTCTATCTCTCACTCTCTCATAATATAATAACACATATCTCTTTGTAATATAGATAATCTTTCTTTGATTTTGCAAGGCCAGCATAGAAATCACACTAGATAATGGTAAACTTAGCCTTTTCCCTAGATTTTAGACAAAGAGATCCCCTATCAAATGAGTCAATTAATTAAACGCACCTTGTATTGTATACAAATATAAAATTAACTTTTGTTATTTCATCATTTTTCATAAATACTGAATTTAATTCACGGTAATGGAAG